GTCGAAATCAGTTTGGTTGATATTAGTCTTATGTGATTGAATTAGATCAACTGAATTCATTTTAATGAAATTCAATTTAATTAGATGTGAACTAGTTCAATTTGAATTGATCGAGCTCAGTTTAAATTAATTTAATGCAAATAAAATTTTACTTATTCTCAATTTGAACCGACTTGGCTCGATTTAACACTTTGCACAAGCCTTCAACGTAACATCAAGGAAGTAAATGAAAATAATAATAATAAAGCTTTCTTGAATATTTTTTTGCTTTTGCTGGCAGGTAAGCTTCCCTATCTTGCAATGAATTTGATGACATTAAGGTCTAGAGGACGTCACATATATACATGCAGTCATGCAGAAAGACATAGTTTTCTGCCACTTAAAAATTTAAATCACATAGCTCCAAAAGCATGTCACATGCACAAAGATAGCTTTGTCTGCCCCATAGTAATGGAGATCCACCCACCTGCTACTCTCCTAAATTTATTTTACTTTAATGCCATCAATTCATTGATGAAGACTCTTCAATTCTTTTGTCGACTTAGTATTGTAGATTAGTTGGGTTTTTTTTTTACTACAGTTGAGATATTTTGATAATTTTTTAACTGAGTTTAATTATATTATATTTAATAAAATGTATTGAAATATATGTAAATATGACGTGATGTTGGGGCCTGAGGGCTATTGAGATAGGATTCTATTATACCTGGGTTTAAGGGAAGACGAGGTGGAAATTTGTTAACGAAGATATATAAAAATTTGGGGTTGAGAGTCATTTTAATAATCAATCACTATGAAATATCTGGTTATAATTCAATAGATTTTAGTTCAGCTTTCATAATTATTTAAATACTTTTTAAATATTTTTATGAAGTTTAGTCTCAAGTACTTCAGTTTTAGTTTATATAAATTATTTCAGTTTATTATTAAGCCGTAATATTTTTTGTTCTTTTAATTTCAGTTATTGATTTATGTTTTAGAGTACGAGTCTACTGAGCTGTGTTAGCTTAATCATATTTTTACTTTCATTTTCGGGCCACAAAAAAGATAAGGAGTGAACTAAATAGTTTTAGATAACATATTCATATATATGTTGTAGGTATGCTTTTTGGATTGATTGATTTTTTTTTACAGGCTTTACTTTTATTTTGTTATGTGTATTTATTGACAAGCGCTATTATAGACATCTAAAATTGTATATGTATTTTTGGATGATAATTAAAAAAAATTCAATTTTGAGATTCAACAGGATTTGACTCCAATTACTGATTTCAGTTTTATTCTGCTCCTAATTTAAAAACTTTGGCCAAAAATTAATTATTTTTAACATGTGATGATTTACAGTCCACAATGCAGCTCATCTTGATCAGTTGATTGGGAGCTTTGACTACTAATTAAGAGTCCATGGATTGAGTATTTCAAGGATGGCCTGTTTGTGAGTTTGAGGCTTTGTTTGAGACAATTTTCAAACAGCTTTTGTGTACAAAAATTTTTAGAACAAGAAATTTTTTTACTGAAAAGTTATTTTAGAAAGTAAGAAGAAAGCTGCCCCAAATGAAGCTTGACTTAATTGGCCTAAATATAAAAAAAACATTCCATAAGCATAATTAATTGATATTAACCACAACTAAGTGGACTTTTTGCTTCTATTACTAATTTATGTTATTATTCTGCTCCTTTAAAAAAATTACCAAAAAATAATTATTTATAATATGTAATGATTTATAGTCCCCAATGCAGCTCATCTTGATCTATTGGTTTGTAGTTTTGACTATCAATTAAGAGTTCTTAAATTGAGTATTTCAAAGGTGACGTATTTGTGAGTTCAAGGCTTTGTTTGAGACAGTTTTACATACTTATTTCTAATACAAATTTTTTAGAAATAATTTTTTTTTTCACTAAAAAATAGCTTTGGAAAGCTGGAAGAAAGCTACCCAAATGAAGCCTAACTTAATTGGCCTAAATATCTAAAAAAAAAAAAAAATTACAGCCCTCAAGCATCATTAATTGACATTAACCACAATTATGTGGAGTTTTTGCTACTCTTGTTAATATGAGGTTTTTGTTTTAGAACAAGCAAATTAATTAAAACATGATATTCACAAACAATGAGATCAGCCAAGTTAGGATCATTTACAATCCTAAAGCCCTTTTAATTCATTTTGATGTTGATTAATGCTTCGTGCTATAAATGAATTAAATCAAGCTAAGGACTATAATGTTCTTATTTTTATATCAAATTACTTGAATTTAAAATCTTAAGCAAATTTATTTACAAGTTTTCTTTTTGAATAACTTAACTGAATATACAATCGATATTAATAATTTAAACAGATTAAAAAAAGTTTAAATCTGGCCATTTAACTAATTATTATTATTATTATTATTATTATATAT